CCCTGCCAGGGCACCCACAGCAGCCACAAAATCCTCGTTATCATCCACACTGGGAAGCAAAATGGGATGTTTGGGATGACCTGGCACCCAGCAGGATGTAGCCACCCACCCAGAACTCACCTGCAGACAAAGACCTCCAGTGGTGCTGCCGTGTTGGGGGTCATGATCCAGGGAGCCACGCGGAAAACCACCGTGTCGGTGAAAATCGGCGTCTCCAGCAGCCCCTGGGATGGAGGGAGCAGCGTTTGGGTTCTGCTGTCCCACCAGTAAAACTCACCCCAACCCCTCTCCATGGTCAGTACCTTCTCAGGGCTCTCCAGCAGTGTGACATGGAAGGCCACCAGCCCTGAAAAGCCAATATCTGGGAAGGCAAGTCCCTCCACGTAAAAGGTGCTCTCCTCCTGGTGCCGGCTGGGCTTCAGGGCGTAGACAAGCTTGGAGCCCCCCAGCACATGCTTGTACTCCTCCAGTGAAGCACTGCCTGTGGGTATGAGCACCATGACTCCCCCCTTCATCAACCCACCCCTTTCCTGCCCCCTTTCACCTCCATTTTGGGGCTAAAATAATGAAAAACAAACAGCTCGGTTTTTTTGCATGGCTGAGAGAGTTGGGGTGTTCAGCCTGGAGAAGAGAAGGCTCCAGGGAGACCTTAGAGCAGCTTCCAGTGCCTGAAGGGGCTCCAGGAAAGCTGGGGAGGGACTTGGGACAAGGGCAGGGAGGGATGGGATGAGCGGGAGATGTTTTTAAGTTGAAAGAGGGGAGACTGAGGTGAGACATGAGGAGGAAATTCTTTGCTGTGAGGATGGTGAGAGCCTGGCCCAGGTTGCCCAGGGAAGCTGTGGCTGCCCCATCCCTGGCAGCGTTGAAGGGCAGGTTGGATGGGGCTTGGAGCAGCCTGGGCTGGTGGGAGGTGTCCCTGCTCATGCAGGGGGGTTGGGACTGGATGGGCTTTAAGGTCCCTTTCAACCCAAACCATTCTATGATTCTATGATTCTATGGAAGTTGGATGCTGCAGAAGAGATGCTGTCCCTGCTGCAAGCATTTTGCTCTAACCCCCATGATTTGGGGTGTCTGTGTCCCCCTCCCCAGCCCTGGTGTCACTCACTGCCACCGTAGAAAACTCTGACTTTATCGGCGTGGCCGAAGTCCACGTGCAGGAGGAGGCGGTGGCCAGCGAAGATGGTCCGGGGACCTCGCGTCCTCAGCACCATCTGGGACATGTCCTTTAGGTCTGGGGGGGAGGAAGAAAGGGGTGTGAGAAAGGAAAACTGGGGAAAACCCCTAGGAAAAGGGCGAGGGTTCCCACGGGACGTGGCGGTACCAGCGTAGGAGCGGATGGTGTCGTCCCGGTTATCGGGGGTCTCGGCTTCAGGGTCGTCCCGGTCGCAGTTCACCAACAGGATGGCCCCGTGGCCATCAGGACCCCAGGTCCATTTCGTCTGGATGGGAATAAAAAGAGTCTGGGGGTGTCAGCCATCACCCTCCCCCCACCCACAGCAGTCCCAGGGGGCTTCCATCCCCCCCTTATACCTTATCCAGCAGCGTCCTGCTCACGGCCCCGCCGCGGCTGGTGTCGGCGTCCAGCGAGACCTCTGTGGGGAGGGGGATGCTGAGTGGGGGGAGCATCCCCCCAGCCCTCCAGCACCACGATTTGGGGGTGTCCCTACCCCCCCCCACTTACCCACACAGGTGAGGTACAGCATGGCTCTGCCCACTGGCACTCCACCAGTCTCCCCAAAATAGGAGATCCTGACCTGCAAGGCGGAGCAGGTGCTGGTCACCAACCCAATGAGGGGCTGGGCCCGGCTGGAGCACCAACACTAGCACCCACCTTTTCATCACCCACATCCTTGCTGAGGGCATCCATGGCCAGCAGCACCTCCGTGCTGGTGGCCAGGGGCCAGCGGCCCACGGTGGATGGCAACTTGATGCTCTGCTTCTCATGCACCACGTAGAGCTTCACACCTGGTGTCCCCTGGACATGGAAGGCAACAGCATCCTTGGGTGCAGAGCTAAAGAAGCGGGGGGGGGAAGCCTGGTGAGAGCCTTGGAATCCAAGATCTCCAGAGGTCCCTTCCAACCCCTACCATTCTAGGAGAGCCCCAAAGTGAAGGCCAGATATCCACAAGGGAGGCCAGTCCTGCCACGTGCAAGAAATGGTGCAACATGCCAGGAACCCTGCAATGTGCAACTGCCTCACGTTGGGCAGGATGGAACAAGGCCTGGAAAATGCAAATAAGCCCTGCAGTATGGAACTGCATCAAATCCTGTTACATGCAAGTGCAACAAGTCCCTCCACATGCAAGGCAGCCTGAAAAAATGCAAGGAATCCTGAGGAAAAAATGCAACTGCAACAAATCCTGGAGTGTGGAATTGCAACAAATTCTGCAACAGGCAACAGATGATCTTCAAAAGAAGTGTGGCCAGCAGGGCCAGGGAGGTGATTCTGCCCCTCTGCTCTGCTCTGCTCAGACCACACCTGGAATGCTGTGTACTGTTCTGGTGCCCTCAGCACAAGAAGGACATGGAGCTGTTGGAGAGAGTCCAGAAGAGGCCACGGAGATGATCCAAGGGCTGGAGCAGCTCTGGAGACAGGCTGGGAGAGTTGGGGTGTTCAGCCTGGAGAAGAGAAGGCTCCAGGGAGACCTTAGAGCAGCTTCCAGTGCCTGGAGGGGCTCCAGGAAAGCTGGGGAGGGACTTTTCATCAGAGAAGACAGTGATAAGACAAGGGGTGATGGTTTTAAACTGAGAGAGGGGAGATTGAGGTTAGATATTGAGAAGAAATTCTTCACTCTTAGGGTGGTGAGGAACTGGGATGGGTTGCCCAGGGAGGTTGTTGATGCCCCATCCCTGGAGGTTTTTAAGGCCAGGTTGAAGGAGGTTTTGTGCAACCTGTTCTAGTGGTGGGGGTCCCTGCTCATGGCAGGGGGGTTGGAACTTGATGATCTTTGAGGTCCCTTCCAACCTTAATGATTCTATGATCTTTAAGGTCCCTTCCAGCCCAAACCATCTATGAACACATCATGCTAAACTGCAGCTGCAGAAGGGTCTTCAACATCCAACAAACCCTGCAAAATGCAACTGCATCAAGGCCTTGGGGATGCAACAAATCCCAGGGCTCAGGCTTAGGGCAAATCCCCCAAAAGGCAACAAATCCTTCAAAAGGTGATTACAGCAAATCCTGTCAGAGGCAACAGATCATGCAAAAGGCAACAGCAACAGATCCCACCAGGTTCATGGCAACAAACCCGGCAGCTTGAACAAAATTCCCCAGGGGTCACTGGGTAGCAAAGGAGGCAAAACTGCAACGAAACATGAAACTGCAACAAATGCTGCATTATTGATGCAATAAATCCCTGCAACAGGCACCAAGGGCTGTCGTGTTCAGCTGCAACCAAGCCTGGAAAATGCTGAGGCAACAAATCCTGCAAAAAAACACCAACAAACTCACCCTGCACAAACACAACTAATCCTGCCCAAACTCTGGAGCTGCTCAAGGGGTTTTGACCCCCCCCCCCCCAAATGTTTGCATTTTGCAAAATACAAAAAAGGTTTGGGTGGGGAG